TCTTTTAAATATACAACAAAATTATTACATAAATTTCTTTTTTGTCTTCCATTCTCCCCCACCCCCCACCCTAGAGATGGCTACCATAAGGTGCAGATAGCATCTTTCTTCAAATGTCCTTTATAGTTAATTTGGGTATTTATAATAGTCAAAATGACCTAGTCACTGAAAGTCATTCTTAAAACAATATTGCTGTTACTGTATATAATGTTCTCTTGGTTCTGCTCATTTTGCTCTTCATTATTATACGCAGCTCTATGTTTTTCTAAAATGACTGAGTTCATCTTTTGTGTGTGTGTGTGTGTGTGTGTGTGTGTGTGTGTGTGTGTGTGTGAGGCAATCAGGGTAAGTGACTTGCCATGGGTCACACAGCTACTAAGTGTCAAGTGTCTGAGGCCAGATTTGAACTCAGGTCCTCCTGACTCCAGGGCTGGTGCTCTATCTACTACACCACCTACCTGCCCCAAGTTCATCATTTCTGAATGCATAGTAGTATTGTATCACAATCATATATCACACCTTGTTCAGCCGTTCCCCAGTTGATGGGCATCCCTGCAGTTTCCAGTTCTTTGCACCACAAAGAGAACTGCCATAAACATTTTAGAACAATAGGTTCTTTTCCTTTTCCCCTAATTATCTTCAGAAATAGACCAAGTGGTGGTATTGAATTGAATTTAATAATTTTTTTAAAAGAAAGCGCTGAAAGCTTATAGATCCTCAGCCTGTCCCTGGATCATAGAATAGCACAACATTTAATACCCCAAGAAAGTAGCAACAGGACCAGCCCAGACCTTCCCTCCAGAAGTGAGGCAGAGCCCAGCACTAACACATAAGTCTGAAGTCAGAAGTAAGATGGTGGAATAATTAAACAAAAAAAGAAACACACCATAAAGAATTATCCTGGTGGCAAGGAAGCTCAAGACACAAATCTAAAAGGAGAGAATGACCCCAAAATATCTATGAGCAATACCTTAGAGAAAAACACAGCTTGGGCATAAACTTAAGTGGAATTCTCTGGAGAGATGAAGGAAGATTTTTTTAAGAGTTTAAAATGTTTTTGTCAATGAAATGAGAACTGTTGAAGAAAAAATGGAAAAGAAATTAAAACTGTGGAAGAAAGAATTAGCAAGGAAATTAGCAGCTTAGCATAAGACGTACAAAACCCTGTTCAAGCAACAAACTCACAGAAAATAAAAATGAACCAAACAAGCCAATGATTCAATGAAACAACAAGAAATATTAAAATAAAGTCAAAAGAGTGAAAAAATAGAAAAAAATGTAAGGTATCTGATAGCAAAAAGAATTTACCTGAAAAATAGATCAAGGAGAAAAGAATTTAAGAATCATTGTACTACCTAAGTGACATGACCAAAAATAAAAGCCTAGATGTCCTACTTCAAGAAATCTTGAAACTGCACAGATCTCATAGAACCAGAAGGCAAAGTAAAGATAGAAAAAAAAATACGCTAATCACCTCCTAAAAGAAACCCCAAAATGAAAACTCCCAGGAACATCATAGCTCAAAATCTAAACCTTCAAGGTTAAAATAAAACATTGCAAGCAACCTGAAAGACAAAATTCAAGTACCAAGGAACCACAATCAGGATCAAACATAATTTATCAGCCAATGGAAAGCTTGAAATACCATCTTCCAAAAGGTAAAGAATATGAGCTTGCAGCCAAGAATAACTGAGCCAGCAAAACTGAGTTTAATCCCATAGGAGTAAAAATGTATCTTTAGGAAGTTTGGAAGTAGGGAGGGTTTGCAGGGAAAGATAACGAGTTCAGTTTTGGACATTCTGAGTTTAAAATGTCTAGAGGGTGTCCAGTTCAAGATGTCTAATAGATGGTTGCATATGTGAGACTGGATCAAGTATACCTAGAGGACAAATACACTTGAGGTGATGCAATTATGAGAGTGCTAAGGGATCAATATGCAATCTCAAGGAGAGAAAGATATCAAGGATGCAGGGAAATTTTCAGATTTTATTGATAATACCAAATAAGTTCTCACCTACAGAAAATCTTTGTGGGAATTATCTATACACAAATCGAAGGTATGTTCAGTGAGTGTGTAAGTAGGGAACAAGCAGGCTTTTACAAACAATACTGAACAGGGATCACATCTTTACCATTTCCCAGATGACTGAAAGATTTAGAGATTATAAGATCCCATCATACTCATTGTTTACTGATTATAAAAAAAAAACCATTTGATTCAACAAAGCAAACTGCCACAAATGATTCCTTTTTTAATATGATATTTCTTATCCACACATTGAAATAATTCAAGAGTCTTTGAGAAACATAAAAAAATCCTTTTAAAAAACCCTCTTGATCATAACTATTAGGCAAAGAATAAAATAGAAGATGTATGGTTGCCAGCAGGCATTCATAGCTATGATGAAAGAGATCCAGCATACACCCCAAGTGAAGGGGGATTCTCTATGGATAATGAGATCCTATAGATGTTCTATGAGAGTGGCATTGTGCTGGTTGCGTCACTTTGGAATTCTACAGAGTTATGGAACATTTTTGAGCCTCCTGGAAGAGCATAGTAATCACTCAAAAGTGTCTGATCTGACTATTCACACAATAAATCACAAGTGAATGAAGAATATCCATTGCCCAGATTTTGACAAGCATTTGTATAAACAAGTATAGAACCTAGCATGTCCATCAGTATAAATATCCTGGACAAATAGTACAGATAGACAATGAGTTAAGCAGAGGTAGGAGAGCAGATGATATTACCTTCCATAAATTGCAAAGCTCCTTTAGGTGACCCCAAACTCACCATGAAAACAAAGGCCCATCTTTTTAAAGCAACATTCTACTGGTGTTACTGTGTGGCTGCAAGACACAGAGTACAACAGTATCTGAAGAATTAAATATGAATATAGAATGAGAGCACTATAGTGGTGGCTCTTAGTGGGCATAAGCAGGCTGCAATATGTAATAAGTGAAGAACTTGGAAGAACAAGAGCAAAAGATTCTAGTCACATGGAGAGGGCAAAGGATGACATGATGGACAACCAGAGTATTCCACTGTTACCCTCATAATGATGGTAGAGAGCAAGGTAGGCTTCCAGCACACTGGATAGACCCCTTGTGTTTGGTGACCTTTTGAGAAGACGTAAATAACAGTCTCATATAATGAAAAAACATGGAGGAGTTGTGGCCTGCATTGTAGGAGGGGACTCCTAAAACAAGATCACAGATCTGTTTGAGTATTAATCAATGGATTGTTCATTTAGTAAAAGGAAGAAATAACTTACTGGATGGTATTGGTATAGGTGTCAACCCTATGTTAAAAAGTAATGCCATAGCCTGATGTGAATGGATGTCTGCATACCGAGGTATTCATATGCCCAAGGAAAATTCTAAAGAAGTGCTGAAAAACACTCACAGTTGAAAAACAAAGTCTGATGGGAAGTCAGAATGGCTCTTGAAACCAGGGAAGTAAAAAAGTATTCATTCAACCTTGGGATAATTGTACTGGATAATCCACCTCCTAGAACATAAGATATCTTCCTCCTGTTCTCTAGGGAAGACATAATGCTTCTCTCTGGACATCTCAGACGACCATCTAATAACTTTCTGGAATAAAGTCATATTATACTGACACATCCTTTGACTTTGCACGAGCACACTCTGCCCATACAGCCAGACCTAAAACTGAGACATATAGCATTCCAGGAATCACCTAGGATTTCTTTTCTGATATCATCTGACAACCTAATGTCATTCCATACTCTTTCTATGTCCTTGCACTATATTGTAGTATATTCCGACTCAGATCATATCCCAAGTTGAAATGGAGCTTCCTGTATCTAAATCTAGAGAATGGGATAGATTATTCCCTGAAGTTTTAGACCTATAAAAAGAAACATTGAAAATAGTCAATAATTGTGAAATACCTTTCAAGCTTAATTTAGAATCTTATTGAATTTTTTAAATTTAACAAACAATTGCTTGCTCTGTCCAAGGTGCTGTTCCTATCTATATTAATTTAATTTGATTTTTTTGTTGTTGTTCAGTTGTGTCCAACTCCTTGTGATCCCATTTGGGCCTTTCTTGGCAAAGATGCAGAAGTGGTTCACCATTTCCTTCTCAGCTCATTTTACAGATGAGGAAACTGAGGCAAACAGGGTTAAGTGACTTGCCCAGAGAGCCAAACAGTAAGTATTTGAAGCCAGATTAGAATTCAGGAAGATGAGTCTTTTCTGATGCTCTATCTGCTGCACCATCTAGCTGCCCAATTTGATTTTTATTTCAAAATATTTCAGGATGAAAAGGGATTAAGTAGGCAAAAAATTTCTTTAGAAAAATTTCATTTCTTTACATGTTAATATAAATAAATTAGATCTCTTATATCCCGGAAATAATGATGGTTCTAAATTACATATACTGTTCTTGATTAAACTTAATGTATATTAGGAAAAGATGAAAAGCTCTTCCCTTTTAAGATTTGTTTAAGAATTAGAATGCCTCTCCATGCTATTATATGTGTTCACTAAAAACCTGGGCAAAGTCTGTGAGAAAAGATAAGCTGGGGAATTGCTATTACATGGTCCACATTTTGAAACCACATTATCACAAGGTCCGTTTTAAGGTCTAAATTATTTCTGCCTTCTCTGAACTCCAGTGTAATTACTGTCTGCATGGTTAATTTGAAAATTAATCATTCAGTGCCTTGTGAAATCTCTTCTATTATTGTCTCAGCTCTTTAAATCATTTATTGTTATTCAATTTTCTCTTTTCTTTTTTCTCCAGCAAAATTGTTCAGAGCAAGGACCTTCTACTTGTTGGTAATCCCAACAGGGACTAGGACAGTATCTTATACATAATAAATATTCAATAATATGCTTTTGTTATTACTGAGAAATGAGAATTTACAAATTCAAGATGAATCCAAATTTTAAGTATGCATAGCACTATGTTACAGTGGACCCTACCTCCAATAAATTTGATATCAGACACAATAAAACTTGGCTCACCCAGTTGTTTCATATATTCATCAAAATTTTCACAAGAAGTTGATTTCCATGTTCCCAGGAGATGATCAACCATTTAGTTAGAGAACAAGTTGATTCTTAAAAAGGGGGGAAAAGATATTAAACTCTATTATGTCAATAGAATAATCATTATCAAAAGATATGTTCTGATCCATTATGATTCTGCTCTGAATTAGTGTTACCAAGGAGAAAATGGGGCAAACCTCACTGTGTACATATTTGACTTTTCTCATACCAGCTGAAACAGAAGAATTATCTGCAAATAGGAAGTAGTTATTAAAATTTTAGCCAGGGGCAGCTAGGTGGTACAGTGGATAGAGCACTGGCCCTGAATTCAGGAGGACCTGAGTTCAAATCCAGCCTCAGACATATAACACTTACCAGCTGTGTGACCCTGGGCAAGTCATTTAACCCCATTGCTTAGCCAAAAAAAAAATTTTTTTTAAATAAAATAAAATTGTAGCCAGACTAATGTAGAAACAAGTCTTTCCAAGAATAAATGCTGCTTTTTCACAAGTCTCAAGGATCAATATTGTGAATATCACACATTGTCTTGTACTTGCTGATATTGTACAAGGTACAATAGCCAAGGGGCAGGTAGGTGGTGCAGTGGATAGAGCACCGGCCCTGAAGTCAGGAGGACCTGAGTTCAAATCTGGCCTCAGACCAAAATTTGACATTTACTAGCTGTATGACCCTGGGCAAGTCACTTAACCCCAATTGCCTTTTAAAAAAAAAAAGAAAAGAAAAAGAAAGAAAAAGATACAATAGCCAAAAACAGAGAAAGCCAGGGGGAAGTACCAGGGCCATTTAATGCTATCGTAAATGGCCCTATACATACCTAAATAAAATACCCTCTGAAAGCATCAATTGGTAGTCCAGGGTGGGTGGGAGGTTGGGAGGAGAGGGGAGAGAAAGAATCACAAGTCAGAACTATATAGCAGTGTGGGAAAATTCCATGATATGGGGTTAGTAGATACATGGTGACAACATTCTCCAAACCAAAAGTCAGGAAATATTATCTGACAAAGAATATTCTTTTTAAAAAAAAGCTTCATTATAAGCAGTTTCTTTCCCAAATCAGGACTCTTCCAGGAAATCTAGAGCATATGGTCATTGTACCTCCTTCTTACAGGGTGTATTATTTTATTACAGTTTAGCATAATGTGATGTTCTTAATGGTCTTGAGCTACCAAAAAAACAAAAAAGATCATGTTCAGTGTACTCTAAATTGAGGCAGCACCATATTTAAAACCATCCAAAATGGTTCTGATAGCATTTTTATAGTAAAGGGCCAATCTTCATTTTTATAAAAAAAAATTCCCTTAAAAGAACTGCACTCTTCAGCTACGAAAGATAAATGCAATATTATAATTACTGTCTTTGATATGTTTATCAGATTGATTTTTAACATAGCATACTTTGTTTTCCATTTGGAAGGAAATTAGCAAATTCTAATTATCTAATGGAAATTATCTATGAAATATTCATCAACTGATGACATTTAGAAGAATGTTTGCTCTACAGTCATATTGTTGGAGAAGGGAAAGATTCAACTTTGACAATCTACATTTGATTGTTCCAAGGACTGGTGGCAGCTTGTCAAAACTTATGGCTTCTCTTTGTTTTTCTCAAGGTTGTCTGTCTTTAATCCATTTCATTTCTTATTAACACCTCTGCCAGAGGGTAGGCAGAGGGTTGAATAAACTTGAATACTCATTAGCAGCTCTGAAGATTGAATGGAGAAGTATAAAACTATTTATTAAAATTAGTTTATGGATTATCTTCATAATCACTGCATCCCAATTATCCTAAAATAATGGAAGATAACTGTTTGATGTAAAGCCCTCAATGTCTAACTACCCCTCACCATATTCTCAGCAGTTTCATGAAACTCCTTGGGCTTGATCTTGCTAGAAATTATTTTAACACAAAGAAATAGGAGTACTTACCTTATGACAATCTAAGAGCTGCAGGATTTCTGATTCCCCTCCACTGTTAGAAAGCAATCACAAAAGTGGGTAGAATGTAGATGTTTGTGTCTCCCTGAAAGATATCAACTTGATATCATATTAGTAATGTGTTTAAATAGAGAACAGTTCTTGATGCATACAGCAAATATTCTATGAATCTTACTCTACGTGAGTCTATTTTGTGTATTTGCAGTAAGTGAAGAAGTCATGACTGGGGCACTGAGTCAAGGGTCTTTTAATAATCAATAGGACAGTATATATGGTATGGTGCTTTCATGCAGTTTGTTCAACACCAAGCCAATTATAAATATCTTCTTATATCCCCGGGACTTTTTGGTGTCCCATTTTTGCTCCTTGGCCAATATATAGTTTTCTTGTATATGTTAATAAAAGGGATTGAGGGAATACAAGATATGAATGCTTTGTAGAAAGTACATAAACATTATTGGCCTGCATTTGGAAGTGTCATTGGTGACCTTATCTTTTTTCAGTAGATATCTGGTGCCTTCTCTCAAGAAAAGATGAGGCTATGCCTGAGAGGAAGGTGTTAAAGTGCTTTGCTAGCAATTCATGTACCATTGTGAAACATTTGAGTCAATAATAATGGATCTGATACAGACCTACCACTTTCCAGCTTTGCAGAGAAGCTAGAGGTGTAGTCAGTTCCCCTTATACCACTACTATTACTACTACTACTGCTGCTGTTGCTGCTGCTGCTGCTAGTACCTCTATAACTGCTACTATTGCTACTACTACTATTACTTTTAGGACAGCAAGGTAGCAGAGAGTGCAGCTAGGTGCCAAGTGGATAGAGTGCCAGGCCTATAAACACAACCATTTCTGGGCTTTTGTATATCTGAATGAGGCACGTTCTTGTTTTTTTCTTGGTTTCTTAATAAAAATAACTTTTGCAAGCTTCCATCCTCCTGTAGGAGAAGAAAAGTTATTTCTTCCACACCTTCATCAAGATCAAGGTGGAATCAATATTCCCCAAGAGATAAAGTGTGATGGTATCAAAGCTATGAAGACAGAGGAAAGTGAGGAGAGCATTTAACAGAAACCCAGCAGGGATAAGGTCTACACTCCCTCTCATCTTGCATCAACCACCAGATATAAGAAAGTAAACTATAATCTGTGAAAAGCAAAATCAAAGTCCATTATCACTCACTATCCATTACCAGAAGTTATTTCAGTCATACTCTCAAACTAAGTTGAAGGGTTGGAAGTTGAAAGGTTGGAAAAATTTCAAAACCTTTGTGAAGATCTCACTAGCATTTGGCATCAAAACAAAATGAAAACCACACCCAACACTGTTGGCTTTCTTGGAGCTGTTTCAGAAACCACCAGAGATGAGAGTCAGGGCCTAGAGGTCCCAGGCTCTCTCTCTGTAGTTCTGTTGTCATATGAGGGATGGTCATTTGCTCCTTTATTTAGGCAAAATGTAATAGAGGCAAATGCATTCCCTCTGGGCTATATTCCTTTAACTGGTATACTGAAAATGAATGATGACATCGAATAAATTCCTCCAGAAACAATTTGTTCTTCAGCAGGTGTGGGCAATATGGTATTGTGCTAGAATATTTCACTTCATACTGATTTTGTGATAGTGGCTCCCATGGAAGGGATTTTTTTAAAGCTTATTTGAGTATTAGGCTGTGGGGTAATCAACTATAGTAATCCCAATAGGCTGTAAGGATTAAAAATTTTATTTAAGGAAGAACACCAAATACTAAGTAAGTGCTTTTAAAAAATGATAGCCAATATTTAGCTTTGTCAGCAGTTGCTGAGGGACTGGATTTTAGGAAAGGAACATATATATCTATATAGATATAGACATATATATATCTATATAGATATATGTAAAATCTCACATACTATGTTAAAAGGCATAGAATCTTAGATCTAGAGTTAACAAGGAATTTCAGAAACCATCTAAATTCACCCCTTAATTTTCAGATCAGGGCACCTGGGCCCAAGGATATTAAGAGACTTCCTCAAGATCATACAAGAAGTATGTGTCAGAGGCAAACAGTGATGCCATTCAAATGCTATATTCATGTAAAATTAGCTCCTATGCCACTCCATCCAAGAAGACTTCCCTGATTCTCCCTTCTTCTCCCCACCCCTTTCATTAGAATGATCTCTTCTCATTTTATACTCTTGGCCTTACTGATCTCATCCTCTTCTTCTCTATAGGCACTAAATAAATATTTGTTGAATTTAATTATTCCCAACTCTATACATCCAGCCCTAATCTTTCTCCTGAGCTCCTGTTGTCTCTACCCATGTAACCTCAAACTCAGCATGTCCAGAACTGAAGTTTTTACCTTTTTCCCTAAATCTGTCCTTCCCACAAATTCCCTTAATCCTGTTGAATACTGAGCACCAACTAATCCTGTTAAATTAGAGGGTACTATCAAACAACCCAAATCTGAAACTTTAAAGTACTTTTTTTTACTCTTTTCTCTCCCTAATTTCCTATAATATGCAATCAGTTACAAAACCCTGTCAATTTTACCCCCATAACATCTTTCACCTTTGTCTCCTTTCTATTCATGTGGTTATCATACTAGCTCTTGACCTAATCATCTCTTGCCTATGCAACATTGTAAAAGTCTTATTTTGGTAAGTTTCTTTGTTTTTAATTTTTCTTTTTTTAAAAAAGTAATCAAGCATTTATTTTCTTCTCCTCCTCTCCCCTTAAAAATAGAAAAAAAGAAAACAAACCACCTCATAATAAATACGCATAGTCAAATAAAAAAATTCTCATATTGGTCCAAAATTGTGTCCATTTTGCATGTTATTTCATCATCCTCTGTCAAAAGAGGTAATATTCTTCATTATTGCTTTGGAAACATAGCTGATTATTGTGTTGATCAGAATTCTTGAGTTTTTCAAAATCATTTGTTTTTATAATGCTGATGTTATAGTATAAGTTCTTCACCAGGATCTGCTAATTTCATTTTGCATCAATTCATACAAGTCTTCACAGCCTTATCTGAAACTGCTCCTTCTTCATTTCTTTCAGCACAATAGTATTGCATTACCTTAATAGCCATAATTTGTTCAGCTATTCCCCAACTGATGGACACCCCTT